TAGTAAAAAATGTACATATATATATTTTTTATTACATCATGTAAGTAGCGACGCAAAATCATTTAGCTTTGTGATACCCGAGACTAGTAATAGCACTAACCGTTGATATTAATATCAATATAGATTGTGATCTAAAGTGAGGAAATATTTAAAGAAAAAGGCTTACTAAAGAAAACTTATATGTAGCAATTATCCATCGGTTCAATTAATAATATTTTACTAACAGTTGATTGCTTTCGTATTTGTACCATACAATTTCCTTTACGTTGTAGTATAATAATATTTTATTTACCTTGTCTTTACTTCCTCATACTTTCGTCTCATTGTATTATTTTCACAAACTTTCTATTCAGTTTCTCTCCTTTGGTTTTCTCTTGTTACAAATTGCAAAAGTAATTCTCTAATAACATTTTGTGGTGATATATATTTATACAATAAAGGCTGAATTAAACATTTTCATGATAATTGCGTATCATTTTATCGACACAAAATGTCCACACAGTTCCAAATAATTGACTCATTTGCAATACAAGTCTATCTGTTTATAATGCTTCAAAAATTTCAAAGGCTGTGCATATATTGAATTATATTTATAATGCTTGTATCAAATATTATAATTAAATAATACATATTTAAATAATCATCGACGATCAACTTTCTTTTTTCTATACATATGCAATCGGTTCAGAACTGCGCAAATCTTTCGATTAATATTAATTTTTTAAACAAAATAAATGAAGTTATAAATTAGACATTAATCAGATAAATTTGACAAATTTATTATTAATCGAAATACTTGTGCAAAACTTTGGAAGAATATTTAGTATCAATCAATTTTAAATCGAAAAGACTGTACTATTCATCGACAGTGAGTACTAATTACTTAAAAATCTAATTATCCATAGACGTTAAATATATTAATGAATGTCTTTAAAATTTCAACTCAATGTTTTACAAATATCAAAAAAAATAACATAAGCATAATGATGTAATATTCTTGAAAAGCAATTAACATAATTTTAAAAAAACAAGAAAATCCATGAGAATTTTTTATATACAGATTAAATGGTAGAAACATGGAAAAATAGTTAATACAAAATATTTTATTTCTTTACAGGTATAAAATTTTATTTGTAATTCTCTTTTGATACAATATAAAAAAAATTTGTTTTTATAATTCAAAATAAATATACAGATACACAGTTGACTTTTGTTATTCTAGCCACGTCGAATCTTGACTATCCATATCTAATTGTTTATTTTGTATTATTAGAAATTAATCTGGAGAAACATTTCTTCTTGACAGAATATCGAAACATACCGTGATGGTTATAAATTGCCGATAAATAATTTGATAATACGAAGATAATCGATTTTATAATAAGTATAACTGTGTATATATACATATAAAATATGTCTACATTTAATGTAGACACGTTTGCATGCGTACATGTTTTTCCTCTAGCACTTTCTACGTGTCTAACTTTATAAAAAGCATTGCAATATCATCACTTTGTACGTATTTACGTACATACATTTGATTATTAATGTACGAACAGTATTGTTAAATATTAATAATAATCGACAATTATATTTCTCGAATTTCACGCACGGAATTGTATTGTGAGGGAAAAAAAATGGATGCCCATTACACAGGTACGATCGACCGCATTATCGGAAAATAAATAATGCTGCGCACGCTCCTTAAAGGGAAGTTGATTTTCATAGTACCCGGCAGCTAACGCAAGTCATAACAGAACACTTCGAAAGGGGTTATTCAGTGTTGCCTTGACAGCAGTTGAGATTGGAACAGTTGGATCTATTTCTCCCTTATCATGCACGTTATCAAACCAACGATCTGTTTCGTTACATCTTAGATTAGAATCTACTAGTGATTATATTTATCTTTTGGTAAGTTATGGTTTCTCACATTTTTCAAAACACAACTTACAAATAATATGCTTTACTTAACCGATTACTTTCAGCACAATGTTCGTATATAAATAAATGTTTCCTTTGCACTTACTTTTTACGTTAATTAAACTTTGTACATTGACATTTCCTTTTACTTTGATAACAAAAAAAAAAAAAAAGAAAAACGAAAGAACAGTAAATGAATTTCGTTTTGCGAACCAAAACATATAATATCGTTACAATGTATAATTGCATTACCGTCCGATATATAATGGAATAAATTATTTTTAAATTACCTATGCATATTGTATATATTATTACATACATATATACACCATTTAACGATAAATTGAAGAGACATTAAAAAACTTATTTCCAGATACCTGTAACAGTAATTAGCGTTTTACATACACTTTTACTTCATAAAACTATCACAAGTATCCTTTCCCCATGTTTTTGTACACATTCGTCATGTATAATATCAGAACTGCATTCTTCGATGTATAGTCCTTTGATGTATGTATGTATTTTTTTCATTTTTTCCTTCTTTCTTTTTTTAAAATGATTTTCTTGTTCATGCTATTTTTCAAAAATGGAAAACGTTTCTTTTACCCCACTTTTATATTCAAAAAGGATTTGAGATTTTTAAGGTTATGTATAGTAATTTTTTTTCAATCGTATGAGCATCAACTATGTATAATATGTGTGTATATCCGTGTGCAAATATATTTGCCAGTGTATGCATGTTGTATCAATAATACAGACACATATTAATAAAATGAAATACATACACGTGAAATACAGACACATATTAATAAAATGAAAGTTTACTCGAACGAAAGTAACATAAAAAAAGAGTGTTGAAATTTTAAAATTAATAAAAATTTTAAAAATAGCCGAAATAGTGACAACACAACACAACTGTGGCTTGACAATTATATATATATATATAAAATATATATGTACATACATACATATGTACATATATACATATATACATATGTACATATATACATATGTACATACATATATACGTACATATATGTACATAATATATACATATATATGTACATATATTATGTACATACATAATATACAATATGTATGGTATGTGTAAAAAAGTAAATTTTGTATCAGCACAATGTATGAACAAACATCGAGTTCAAAAGCATTTCTAATAGAATTTGAAATTTCCATCTGACTATGTAACTGTTGCTCTTCGTGTAAAGTATTCGAATTAGAAAATTCAAATATAAGAAGATAAACTAGAAAATTATCGATAATGATCGATTAGAAATTTTAATAATTATGAAATTGCCTGACAATGATGAAAATCTGTCGAATCTGATAAATTGAAGTTCGACTAATATTATTTGAAGAAAGCTAGAAATGTGGAAATTTATGCATTCATATGTTGAGAATATGATTATTTTGACAATACAACGTTCGGGATCACAAAAATCATGTTTCACTCGTTTTATTAATTAATAAATATTAATTTTCAAATAGGATAGATTTTGATTATAACATTGTTATAGACATTGTTTCAATATTTTTAAATCCATATTTCCTTTTTGTTCGACATAAGGAAATTTATTATTATTGTTTCTTTAACAAATATTGTAAGTTTACTGAAAGAAAGAAACAATTAATCGTAAGAGATATGCCTTTTAAGTAAAAAGAAAGTACAAAATATTAAAGAAAATAATCGATTATTAAAATTTTTAATATTTTAAAAAAGCAAAAAAATGGTTTAGAATATTTTTTCTTGTGGCAATTTTAATCACACTATAATCACATTATAATCAGTATCAGGCCGTACGTTTTCTGCAGATACATATTCTTTTTCTTTTTAAATCTGCTATTCCTGACATATACCACGTATATTGCCATTTTTTTTCTCGTGAAAACACCTACTTCAATGAAATCACTTACTTCTGATTTCTTGCATTTTATTTTCCTTCACGTCGTTCGCTACTCTATTTTATCTACCTCTTTCCATTTTACTAAGAGGACATGATTATTCTTGATCATGTTCAATTCAGTTATTTTACGTGCCATCCGCGTCGAGAATTGATATTGAGGCTGTTCATTAATCTTAGATTGTTTCGCAATACAGGACAGGCAACATGTATAAAATAAATGTTTTAAAAAATAAGTTTTGATTACTGCGTCATACGATGGATGGAGGATCGACCTTTGACATTAACGCAGGACCGATAATTATTTCCGGTTACCTTGCACGGGGATTAATATTGAAGAGAGAGAGAGAGAGAGAAAAAAGATGAAGATAGGCTTCAGAAAGAAACAATTTGTTGTTGATTAATGAAATCGTTAGAAAAATCATGAAGCATTCGCAATCGTCATGTATTCTATATGATGTACGTTAGAAAGTCGAAGATGATATATGTAAAAAAAAAAAAA